AGCAGAAAATGTTTTCTCATATTTAACAATCCTAATTTTTCATTGTTCTAATTTCTCCTCTGATCAAAATAAAACATGAAAACTGCAGTTGACCTCTGACCTTTTAGCTCCAACTTGACAGCAAACCTGCAGTTTGGACTTAATTTGATCAGAAACCAGAAATAAATGTTCAACAGATTCAAGATTTCAGCTCCAACATTATGAAAATATTCTGAGTTACAACGAGCCAAACGTTTCTGGTGGCTGTGCTTCGCTGGACGCATCATCATCACCATCATCATCACCATCATCATCATCACCATCATTATCATCATTATCATCATCATCATCACCATCATCATCACCATCATCATCATCACCATCATTATCATCATCACCATCATCATCATTACCATCATCAGCAGCGCAGACAGGAAATAAAAAACACAAGCAGAAAAAGAAGTTCCCATTTCATGCACGACTTTCGTCCTTTTACAAAAACCAAACAGTTTTAAAGTTATTTCAAACGGAAGCGAAGGGTCAGAGGTCGTTCCCACCGGGTTTCAGCCTCCAGAACAGAAACAAACATCAGAAAAGGGAAAAATATCTCGACTTCCTGCGAGTCCAAACAAACGTTTCGTCCTGAAATGATTCCAGAGGTTTTGGTGCTTTTCTTCTTTTCTCCCTGATTTCTCTCCAGAACCAGAACCAGAACCAGAACGGGTCGGGTTTCATTCCCGCCCTCTGGGGAGCCCAGTCGCGCTGAGACCAAACAGGAAGTGGGACGAGATGAGTTCTGACGGGTTCACAGTGTTCAGGAAAGTTCTGGGTGAGCCGTCCAACGGCCGACATCATGGCTTCGGCTGACTGATGAGGCAGGGTCAAGGGTCAGAACCAGGGCTTGAAGGTCGAGATCACATGGACCCACAGGATGGTCAGCCACCAGCTGGGGGCGCCGTCAGGCAGATTTATTGCTGGAAAGGTTTAGTTTTAGGTCTGAATCGATCGATCGGGTTTTGGGTTTCTGAGTTGTTGCTAAGTGCTAATGCTAGCAGAATAACGTCCCATTTTGAAGTTTGTTCTGGGATTTCACTGGAACATGAAAACATTCAGGGTTTTATGGTTTCTTGGAAGCCTGATCAGAATCCTGGAGTTGACTGGAGCCGTTAGCCCGTTAGCCCGGTTAGCCGTTAGCCCGGTGGCTAACGGTGAAGAGCGCGGCAGGTGCATTTATACAGGTGAGACACTGCCGTCACTAACAGAGGCTACAAATGAATGAAACATCAAAACTGTCCTCTGATCTGGCTGCTGGTTTATTTAATATAATTTCATATTTTGTATAATTTTGTCCAGGTTAACTTAAAAATTGAGCAATTATTGTTAGAGTTTAATTTTCTAAACTACAGAAAAGTATTAGTATGGATCCGTAAATATGAAAAATTGGGCCGATATCTTATGTTAATACTGCTGTTATGGTACAATTTACCAAAAGCTTATCAAATCTTTATTGGATCAATCGATTAATGATGAGACTAATTGATGCAAGCCGTAGCGCGGAGTGATGTCACAACGCCCTGGGCGGCCATCTTGCTTGAGCAGTGTGTTGATTTGGGCCGAGAGGCGGGTCGTATTGATTATTGGGTTTTAATTGATTAAAACATATGATCCCAGCAGAGAGGAGACCGGTTCTGGTGGACAGGAAGTGGGCCTGAGTGAGGTCATACAGGGTCAGAGGTCACGGTGAGCTGTAGCCGGGGAAGGCCAGCGTGTTGGGGTCAGAGGTCACCGGCGCTGCGGGCTGAAGACGGGGAAGGCCAGCGTGACGTTGAGCGAGTCGTTGTGCTGGACCAGCGACGTGTGCTGGTAGTGCAGAACCAGCTCCTTCAGCGACCCGTACAGGTTGTACGGCTCGGCGAACCCGAAGCCGGTGCCGGTCTTGTTGATGACGCAGTGCTTCACCTCGCCGTCCACCCTGAGGGGGGAGAGAGACACACAGGTGAGGGAGGGAAGCCCACAGGTGTGAGAGCAGGTGGGGGCGGGGCTTACACCACGGAGCAGGCGTAGCAGCCCGGCTTGCTGCTGTCCCGGACCAGGAAGGTTCCGTCCCGCTTGCCGCGCAGCAGGCCTTCTGCCTGCAGCCGGTTCATGTTCCCCAGACGCCACAGCCGCTCGTCGTGGTGAGGAAGGTCCTCCTCGTCCTCCACCGTGCTGTACTCGCTGCGGACAGGACGGGTAGGCGTGGAAACGCCACGGACACCAGCTCAGTGTCCACTTCATCATCCTTCGCTCTCATCGAAACATGTTTCTGACATTCATATTTCTGTTACTACGGGAAACAACACATCTGGCCAACAGCTGCTCAGCGTCTGAACAAGTCGCAGGACGGGCGACTCTAAACTCTGCAGGAGGGACGCCTGAAGGAGGGACGCCTGAAGGAGGGACGCCTGAAGGAGGGACGCCTGAAGGAGGGACGCCCGCCTCCGGTCCTGCAGGGTTTAGATGAGCCACAGGCACCAAACGCTGGAATGAAACGGCTTCATGGCCTCCTGGTGTGGATCTTAATGACCTCATCATTCTATGCAGGTGCAGCAGAGGCTCAGCTAAACGTTGCAGGACACCCAGTGGCCCTGGAGGACTGCAGTTTGAGACCCCTGTCTTAGAAGAACTGTCTGACCTTTGACCTTTCAATCTGGTTTTTAAAGACCTTTGTGTCAATCTTCAGTGGTTTTTGGATTGGAAACGGCGCCTCCTAGTGACGGAGCGCCCCAAGGTTCAGGTCTGGGTCCAGGATTCATTTTCTGATTTATTTCAAGCAAAATCATTTTTTCACGCTACTTTACAAATAACTGCAACTAATTCTCCCCTGTGATTATGTAAGATTCTTGGTTCTCTCCCCAACGATCACAGAAGAAAGAAATGCTGCCACCTGCAGGTGGAAGTCACCATCACTTAAACCCAATTTTTGCAGAACATTTACGATAAACTCAATCATGCGTCGATTTGGTTCCACTCTACATGGAACCAAAAACTGGAAGGACTCACGATGCCTTCAGGGTCAATGGGGTTTTTTATCGATGCTCCACTGACAGGTTGATCTGAACTTAAATCTGGTAAAAACTCCCAGCAGCTTTTATTGCGTCAGGGTTTCGGCAGGTTTCACCAACTCAAATTTAACTTCTGTAACTTCACAGAAACCTACAAACTTCGTCCAGCCGATAAATTTGCATTTATACATGAGAAATATAAAACAGCTAGCCAGCCAAACAGGAGAGTACAGTAGCTTCTGTCATGTTAGCCAGCTAGCTAAGGCCAAAGCTAAGGCCAAAGCTAAGGCCAAAGCTAAGGCCAAAGCTAAGGCCAAAGCTAAGGCTAAAGCTAAGGCCAAAGCTAAGGCTAAGGCCAAAGCTAAGGCTAAGGCCAAAGCTAAGGCCAAAGCTAAGGCCAAAGCTAAGGCTAAAGCTAAAGCTAAGGCTAAAGCTAGCCCTTGTAGTTAATGTCTGACCAAATCACTCGTCTGTTTTAGACCCAAATGTTTTGTGTCTTTTTACACTTTCCATCTGACTCTGTGTCCCACCATCAGTGTCCCTAATGGTGGGACCGGGTTGGGTTGGGTCGGGTCGGGTCAGTACTCACTCCTCGGTGGTCTCGTTCTTCAGACCCAGCCACTCGTTGAGCTTCCTCTGCCGGACTCCTTTCTGGGTCAGCCACCTGGAACAAACACGAGGCCGTTAGAACCCACTTCCTGCTGACCGGCGCCGCTTCCTGTCAGGGGGCGGGGCTTACATCAGGTACTGGTCCCGGGTCTTGCGGAGCTGGATCAGGTCCGGTTTGATGCTGTTCATCTTCTTGTCGATCTCCCGGTTGTCGGCCGCCTGCTTCTTCAGGTCCACCTCCAGGTGGCGCTTGCTGTCCACGATCTCGCTGATCCGAGACTTCAGCTTGTCGTAGTTCTCCATGATCCTTCAGAGAGAGCCAACCGGATCAGAACCAGTCGGATCAGAACCAGCCGGATCAGAACCAGCCGGATCAGAACCAGCCGGATCAGAACCAGTTGGATCAGAACCAGTCGGATCAGAACCACAGATATTATTGTCCTTATTGACCCGATACTGAAAGAAATTCTAGATGGGTTCCTGGTGGCAGTGGGCCCGGTCCATAAGGACGGATCTATTCATTCTAGCTCTAAGCTTTGTCTCTGAGCGCCTGACAAAATAAAATTATGTTTTTTCTTCTTTATTAAATTAAAACTACATAAATCATATGTGTGCACTCATACTTATCAAAGCTTGAACTTAATTTAAATGTTGTGAAACATGAAATTGTATTTTATTTTGAAACCCTTCAGGTCCTTCCTGTCCAGTGGATCACTGGGCTTTATTGGCTGTTTAGGCGCTTTTATTGTGGTAGAGTACGTGTCGCGTTAGAAATGTAACTCTGGCTTGACTCTGATGTTGGGATGAAAATGTTTTGGAGATGAAAACAGGAAGAGACCGGCGGACAGGAAGAGACCGGCGGACAGGAAGAGACCGGCGGACGGGAAGCAGGACGACGTAACGGAGACGATGGATTCTGATTGGACGGCAGGAACCGAATCGTTCAAACTGAATTCATCCGGCTGATTCTGTAGCCATGGCAACCCGGCCTCCAGTGTGTGTGTGCTGCAGGTGGTTTCTGTGGCAACAGCCCACCTCTGGATCTCCTTGTCGTTGCCCTCGCGGCGGAACTTGTCGATGTATTCCTTGCTGAAGCGCTCCTGCGTCTGGCACTGCTCCTCGAAGATCTTGATGGTCTCGTTGAAGGCCTCGATGGCGGTGCGCTTCATCTGGATCTCCTGGGGGCGCAGAGGGATTAGATGCTGCCGGCGGCGGCGGCGGCCATCGGCTGCCATCGGCTGCCATCGGCTGCTCGCCGGCCGTACCTGCGACGTTCTGGTGTATTCCTCGTACAGCCGGTCGTACTCGCGGTTCTTCTCCTGGTACTGCAGGTGGTACTCGTGCAGCTTCTTGCCCACGGCCTCCACGCTGTCCTCCTTCACCACCTGGTCCTGAAGAGCGACACGACCGGCCAATCAGAAGGGCCACGGCGCCGAGGGCCGCAGGGCGCCGCAGAGACACCTACCTGCTGGTGCTTGGACACCGGGTAGAGCAGCTTGACGTCCAGCTTGGGGTTGTACTGGGCCAGAGACTCGTGGCGGTAGTGGTTGATGAGCTCCACCACCGAGCTGAAGGTCAGCGGGTCAGAGAAGCCGTACTTCCCCTCTCGATGGAAGATCTTGATCAGCTTGTTGTTGCCTCCCTTCCTGCAGGCAGAACCAGAATGTTTCTGTCCCAGCAGCGATCTGGTGCTTCGTCAGTCGGACCTGCTGCAGGATCATGTATCTGATTCTGAATCGGGTTCAGAGCAGCAGCTGATCGAAATCAGAGCAGAAAAACTACAACCAGGATTTATTAACCGTTGCTCCAAACTAGGAGGAAATGAGTTCAGCTCAGTGATAATAAACTCTTTTGATGATTTGGAAATCATTTTCCTATGAATAAAGGAAGTTGGTTAGAATCTGAAATGAAGATTTCTCATATTTAAGCACATTTTGTTCTGATGGGAAGAAAAACAAGAAGCTGTTATCACTGTGTTTGTTATTAATCTTTTTTTAATGAGTTTGTAGTTTTGGCAGATTTAAAAAAAAAACTATTCTCCAGTTGCTTTTTAAAACAAATAAAAAAAATGTTTGTGAATTGCTTTATTTTTATTTTAGAAAAAAAATGCAGCCACCTGCCACGCCCCCTACACTGGCCCCGCCCCTTCCGTGAGAGGGCGGGGCTACGTTTCACAGGGGGATTAGCTTCATATTAAACATTCAGACTGAAGATTGATCAGAAAACAGCAACGTGATGGAGAATAAAGACTCACTACGTTCATAAATCTGTAGAGAACAGTCGGTGTTATGGGTGTCAGGGGTATTATGGGGCAGGCAGCAGGGCATGATGGGAGTAATGGGGCGTTACCTGAGGGTCAGGGTGTAATCTCCGTGCATCTTGGTGGAGGCGTCCCGCACCAGGAAGGTGCCGTCGGCCGTGTCTCTCAGCTTCTCGTTCACTTCCTCCCTGCACACGGACAGATGGACGGTCACTCTGGGGTCTCTGCAGAGCCCCTCCCTCTCAGAGGACAGGTGTGTCTCACCTGGAGATGTCCCCCCAGTACCACTCGGCGTCCTGCAGGGAGATGCTGTTGTTGAAGCTGCTGGGGGGAGCAGCGTTGGAGGCCTTCGCCGGTTTGGGAGGCAGAGCTGCAGCAGAGGGAGAAGAAAAACCATGAGAATGATGAAGGAGCCGACGACGCGTCGCAGCGTCTCCTGTTAATCTCAGACCTGCAGGGAGTTTCACCGCCTGCTGCTCTGCACATTATCAGGTTTATTCATGGAAATCAAAAAAGGCAACTGTTGCTTTCTGTTCAGTTTTCTGCTGTCGAATGATCAGAGATGAAACCTCAGATCATGTGGCAGGAAGCTGAACATGCTGATAAAAACACTTTGTGCAGGGAACTTGAATTCATTCTGGAACAGAAACATTTCGTTTCATCTAAAAACTCCCAGAGGAAACTCTTCTCCTGATGTTCTGACAAGCTGGATCACCAAATACTGCTTTACTTTGACTGGTCCACACAGAACAGAACAGGAATCAAAGATTTTATTCGACCAGGTTGTTGGTTGGAGGAAGTGAAGCTCAGATCTCTACAAACCTTATACTGAGTAGTAACCATGATAACCAGCCAATAATAAGAAGATCTGAGCTCTGATTGGAGGAGAAACCCAGAGACATTTCCTGAAGCCGTAGTAACCATGGTAACATCCAGTTCTCGCGCCAATTCTGAGCAGACTGTAAAATATCTGAATGGATGCTAACTGGATGTTAGCTGGAAGCTAGCTGGACGTTAGCCGACCTGCTCTGTTCGTCACCAAACCGTCGCTTTGAGATGTAAAACATAAAAATTCAGTGAATTTTCTACTTAATGGTGATAAATTCACCAACATTAAAAATAATCTGACATTTTCCACCAGAATCCGATTTGGTGGTCGAGTATGAGGGAGTGAGACAGGAAGCGAGACAGGAAGTGAGACAGGAAGCGAGACAGGAAGCGAGACAGGAAGCGAGACAGGAAGCGAGACAGGAAGCGAGACAGGAAGCGAGACAGGAAGCGAGACAGGAAGCGAGACAGGAAGCGAGACAGGAAGCGAGACAGGGAAGACAGGAAGTGAGACAGGAAGTGTGCAGCAACAGAGAAAAGTTGATTTTTTCATTAAAAATCAGATGAAATGTTTTTTTGGGGAATCCTGACCAAACAATGACATCAGCCAAACGAGCCGGTAACCATGACAATGGCAGAGCCGGTGCTGCGTCACCTGGTCCGGAGACCAGCAGAACCCGTCAGAGCGCCCTCCGCAGGCCCTACCTGGTCTCTGCATGTTAATGTAGCACAGGATCTGGTCCCGGCCCAGCAGCGGTTCCGACCGGGTTCTGCCCCGCTGCTCCCGCTCCATGACGGCTCTCAGGTGAAACGACCCCCCCTCTGCAGATTCAGCTGTGACACCCGGATGTCAGAGCTAAGGGTTCTGTCTCCTAAGGGTTCTGGTTCTGGTTCTGGGCTGAGCGGCTGAGCTGCAGGTCAGAACCAGGCAGCATCTCTCCGTTCATCGGCGCTGAAGCTTTCCCTCCGACCGCCTGACTCCATCTCTGCCTCTGTTCAAAGATCGGCACAGCAGCTTGGAGATGTGTGACATCACCGCCGGCCTCGGCCAATCACAAGCAGGCAGGGATGTCTCCACGGCAACGCCCCCCCCTCCTCCGCAGCATCATCTGTCACCGCGGGGATGGATGATGTCATCGGTTCAGCTGCTGCTCTGACCGACTGAACGAGGGACGAACAGAACACACACACACAGTAACACACACACACAGTAACACACACACACAGTAACACACACACACACAGTAACACACACACAGTAACACACACACTGTAGCAAACACACACATACACAGTAAGGGCGACTGTGGCTGTGTGGCAGAGTTGTTGTCTTGCAATCGGAAGGTTGTAGGTTCAATTCCAGCTTCCTCCTGCCACATGTCGATGTGCCTCTGGGCAAGGCACTTAACCCCAAATTGCCTACCGGTCTGCGTATCGGTGTATGAATGTGTGTGAATGGGTGAATGTGACTCTAGTGTAAAGCGCTTTGAGTGGTCAAAATGACTGGAAAAGCGCTATATAAGTTCAGTCCATTTACCATTTAATATACACACTGTAACACGCTGAAGTTCCACCTGAGCAGCTGGACGGAGCTGCAGCTCCACCTGTTGGTCAGAACCTGAAGCGGTCCGGCTGAGCTGGACCAAACCAGAACCACCCTGACCCTGCTGCTTCCTGTCCCCAGATGAGCAAGTGAACTGTGGCGGCAGGAAGCCATCAGGGTCATGTGACCGTCATCCTGTGAGAAACTTAAACATCTGATTTAATTATTACAGACTGTATTGATTACTCTGTGATTGGCCTTTTTAGAGTCCGAATCTTAACGAATTTTAATAATCGATTCATTACAGTCAATCACTGGAGCCCTAATTTATGACATAAAATCTGATTGGATTAAACAGGAAACCAAATGGAAAATGTGATTTCCTTGTGATCAGAATTAATTATTGTTCATCGGTTTCTCTGGATTAAAGTGGATTATTTAGACATTATCTGGAGGATTAAATGTTAATACAGCCTGAGCAGAAACAGATGATCTTCAGTTTAATTGGCGTTTGTGTAACGGCGCCGTACTGCCGGGCTTCAGAACCAGAACCAGAACCTCCCCCAACCTGAAGCAGCTCCAGACTTCGGCCCTTCAAGTTTAAACCGAACATCCAGAGAAGAAGACGTTCGGCGGCCATGTTTGTTCCTGAGCTGCAGTACGGCCGGCTGCCACCAGGGGGCGACACCTGCCTCAGATAAACTGCTTTCACTTTGTTTATGAAATACGAAAGAGAAAAAGATGCTGAATAAAACCCAGATTGTAGTGATTAGTGTGAGCCGGACCAGAACCAGGATCAGGCGGAGTTACCTGGTGCTGCTTGGGTCATGTTGAGTTCGCTGGTGATCAGAACCTCCAGAACCTGAACCAGAGGATCCAGAGCAGAGTCGGACCTGGACAGAACATCAGAGACTTTGTCAGACACGGCGATACTGTTAAGACCTGCTGGAAGGTTCTGGTACCAACCCAGCAGTCTGCCTGAACAGAAGCGGGCTGAAGTTCTCGGCCAGAACCCGAGGGCTCAGCTGGTTCCTAGAGCCGTGCAGACAGAGCCGGGCCAGGTGCCGGACCACGCTGAGCAGGGTCAGCCCAAACTGGGCCGGGCAGGCCGGCGAGCTCGACACGCTCCGCAGAACCTGAGCGCACTCCTCCGGGTCCCGGACCTCTGCGAACAGAACCAGGGACATTAAAACGGGTTGGAACTTTTCACCAGGGCCTGACTGACAAGAGCGCCGTCCCGGTTCTGGTTCTGCTGACCTTGGACGGCGTGGCTCATGTCGGCCTGCAGCGAAGCAGGCAGGACCGGACCGGGCAGGTCCTGCAGGAACCGGACCACCCCATCACACAGAGACGGCACGTCCAGCTGCTCCAGCTCTGAAAACAAACGGACCTCAGTCAGACGGAACCGAGCAACACCAGCCGGGACCAAGGACGGGTGCTGGTTCCTGACCTGTGTCGGCCAGCTGCCGGGTGTCCAGAACCCCTCCACTCATGCTGCGGTACAGAACCGGGCTGTCAGAACCTGTAGAGACACACAGCATCAATCTGATCACCAGACGGTGAAAGGTCCAGTGGAGACTGGGTCCTGATGGTTCTGAACAGTTCCACAGAAAGACCCGGTCCAGCGGAGCACCAGAACCGGGTTGGAGGCGGAGCGTCTCGGGCCTACCTTTGGTCTCTATGAGCTCCATCAGTCTGCTGAGGAGCGGCGGCGCCGTGTCTGGAGGTCCGAACTGGTCCGGCAGGTCCGGCAGAACCAAACCTGAGCAACAAACACAAAGAGTCAAAGAGTCGGGTTCTGGAACCCGTCTGGTCCAAAAGGTTCCAACAGAGAACTTCTGGACAAACAAAGCCAGGGTCTGGTTCTGTCGGCTCGGTTCTCAACGCCTCCTGTACGAGAATCGGGCTAAAGCCAGATCTCTGACTTTCAGGCAGCAGATGATGAGCCGTTAGGCTTCTGCGTTGGTTTTTATCTAACGCTGAGGCCTTAGCATAGCTAACGTTGAGGCCTTAGCCTAGCTAACGTTGAGGCCTTAGCCTAGCTAACGTTGAGGCCTTAGCATAGCTAACGTTGAGGCCTTAGCATAGCTAACGTTGAGGCTTTAGCATAGCTAAAGCTGAGGCCTTAGCATAGCTAACGTTGAGGCCTTAGCATAGCTAACGTTGAGGCCTTAGCATAGCTAACGTTGAGGCCTTAGCATAGCTAACGTTGAGGCCTTAGCCTAGCTAACGTTGAGGCCTTAGCATAGCTAACGTTGAGGCCTTAGCATAGCTAACGTTGAGGCCTTAGCATAGCTAACGTTGAGGCCTTAGCATAGCTAAAGCTGAGGCCTTAGCCTAGCTAACGTTGAGGCCTTAGCATAGCTAACGCTGAGGCCTTAGCACAGCTAACGCTGAGGCCTTAGCACAGCTAACGCTGAGGCTTTAGCATAGCTAACGCTGAGGCCTTAGCATAGCTAACGTTGAGGCCTTAGCATAGCTAACGTTGAGGCCTTAGCATAGCTAACGCTGAGGCCTTAGCATAGCTAAAGCTGAGGCCTTAGCCTAGCTAACGTTGAGGCCTTAGCATAGCTAAACGTTGAGGCCTTAGCATAGCTAACGCTGAGGCCTTAGCACAGCTAACGCTGAGGCCTTAGCACACTAACGCTGAGGCTTTAGCATAGCTAACGTGAGGCCTTAGCATAGCTAACGTTGAGGCCTTAGCATAGCTAAAGCTGAGGCCTTAGCCTAGCTAACGTTGAGGCCTTAGCATAGCTAACGTTGAGGCCTTAGCATAGCTAACGTTGAGGCCTTAGCATAGCTAACGCTGAGGCCTTAGCACAGCTAATGCTGAGGCCTTAGCACAGCTAACGTTGAGGCCTTAGCATAGCTAACGTTGAGGCCTTAGCATAGCTAACGTTGAGGCCTTAGCATAGCTAAAGCTGAGGCCTTAGCCTAGCTAACGTTAAGGCCTTAGCATAGCTAACGTTGAGGCCTTAGCATAGCTAACGTTGAGGCCTTAGCATAGCTAACGCTGAGGCCTTAGCACAGCTAACGCTGAGGCCTTAGCACAGCTAACGCTGAGGCTTTAGCATAGCTGACGCTGAGGCCTTAGCATAGCTAACGTTGAGGCCTTAGCATAGCTAAAGCTGAGGCCTTAGCCTAGCTAACGTTGAGGCCTTAGCATAGCTAACGCTGAGGCCTTAGCACAGCTAACACTGAGGCCTTAGCACAGCTAACGCTGAGGCTTTAGCATAGCTGACGCTGAGGCCTTAGCATAGCTGACGCTGAGGCCTTAGCATAGCTAACGCTGAGGCCTTAGCACAGCTAGCTGTTCAGTCCAACACCGTTAGGATGTTCAGAAAGTGAAAAGTTTCTGACAAGTGAAACAGAATCGAACTGAATAACGGAGTCGTGGGGATTTTGGTCAAATTACATGAAACCAAACGGATGCAGATAAACTGGCAGAGTCGGATCGATAACAGCTGATGCTGGGAGATACGAGGCCATGGAGGCCGGTGAGCCCAGCCCCGGCCCGGTTCTGATGGAGGAACCCGCTGCAGGCCCGGCTGACCGAGCTCTCCTCGTCTCCATGGAAACAAAATGCAGCTGCTGGTCATTGAAAGACAAAACCTGCAAGACAGGAAGCGCCCACACACACACACACACACACACACACACACACACACACACACACACACACACACACACCACACACACACACACACACACACACACACACACACACACACACTCAGACACAGACACACACACACAGACACACACAGACACACACAGACACACACACACACACAGACACACACAGACACACTCAGACACACACACACACACACACACACACACACACACACACACACACTCAGACACACTCAGACACACAGACACACACACACACACTCAGACACACTCAGACACACACACACACACACTTGCTGCGCTGATGGCAGCAGAACGCAGTCGAGTTGTGTTCAGTCAGCAACCGCTGCCCTGACTAAAGACCAGCAGGACGGTTCGGTCGTTGCAGAAGGTCCGATTGGACCGGGCCTCACAGAGAACCAGAACCTGGGAACTGGACTCACTCTCTGACTCTGAGTCGGTCCTCACGGACGCGGCGGATGACGGTCTGGGTGGGCGGGGCTTCGGAGTGGGCGGGGACATCCTCTTCCTGCCGACGAATTCCACGTACGTTCCTGGGAAGTCGCCTTTCTCCTGCCAGAACCAGAACCAGAACGGGCCTTGACTGAACGGTTCCGACTCAAAATCCATTTTGCTGCTAATTTATGGAGCAAACAGATTTGAGCTCAACAACAGAGACACTGATGGATTTGATGATAGATTTCCCATCAGGTCGTTTTAACAGCAGAACTGAAGCAGCTGGATGTGTTTAAACCTGAAACAATAATCAATAAATAATTTATCACATAAATTCAAACAATCTCAATAATTTGCATTTGGATTAATTATTGTTTTTCTCTTTTGACTAAAACAGGACAATAAAAGTCTGGACTTTTACAGACTTCATAAATTATTTTATTTTTTTCTGTTTTGTTTTTTTTATTTTTCATTATTTTAAATGTCTTAATGTTGCAAAGTTAAATGTTCATTAGGATTAAAGAATGTTTTCTTCCATTAAACGCTCGAACACAAAGGTTCCCGCCAGAACGGTTGAGCAGAAACAGAAATATGTGATTAACTGTTAAATTAATTCATCTAAATGAACGCGTTAAAGTCCCAGTCTGACTACAAACTAGTAAAAAACTTCATGACTGATTTCTGTCTTTACACCAGAATAAATACAGTTATGCAGAAATCTGTGGGGTATGAATAGTTCTGAGCTGCATTGATCTTTGTCATGATTGGACCAATTAACTTTTTTTATTTAACGACTTTGTCTCAGACTGAACACTGATGACACCATCTCAAAGGTCAAAGGTCACAGTCAGAGAAACCGGCCATCCCTGGCAGAGTGGCGGCGGGTCAGAACCGATACCTGCGTGGTCTCGTTGAAGCCCGGCAGCCAGCCGATCTCAGACGGCCGCTCCTCGTCTCCGCTGCCGCAGCCCAGCGCCAGTAGCGCCCCCCTGCTGACCAGCAGCATGTCCCCCACGCGCAGGTCGATGTCCTCCTCCCGCTCCTTCTTGTAGTCGTACAGCGCCCGGTACTGGAAGCCCTCGGAGCTCATCCCGGCGCCGGTCCAATATGGCTTCACAGCTCGTAGCAAAAATCAGCTCTGGGTAGAAAACGGTAGAAAAATATGTTCCTGCGACGTCCTGAGAGCTTCTAGAGGGAAGAAGAGAGTAAAGATGGCGTCTCCAGCTGCGCATGCGTCTCTCCGCTCTCCATGTCATCCCTCCTGCTGCGCCCACCGCCGCGCCGTCACACACGCAGCTTCCTGCTGCATCAGCTGGAGGTCGGCCGCGGTCACGCGACACATCTGATTGGGACACAGCTCCACCTGGAGGCTGGAGGACAAACTACACGTTACAAGCTGTTGCAAGTCACAGGTTAAAGGTTAAAGGTCACAGGCCGCTGCAGGTTAAAGGTCACAGCCTGCCGCGGGTTAAAGGTCACAGGCTGCTGCAGGTTAAAGGTCACAGGCTGCTGCAGGTTAAAGGTCACAGTCTGCTGCAGGTTAAAGGTCACAGTCTGCTGCAGGTTAAAGGTCACAGCCTGCTGCAGGTTAAAGGTCACAGGCTGCTGCAGATTAAAGGTCACAGTCTGCTGCAGGTTAAAGGTCACAGCCTGCTGCAGATTAAAGGTCACAGGCTGCTGCAGGTTAAAGGTCACAGGCTGCTGCAGGTTAAAGGTCACAGTCTGCTGCAGGTTGGAGGTTAAACTTAACCTCCAAGTTAGGTTAGAGGTTAGATAAGTCCTCCAATCAGAGAGCTCTCAGATCCAGCAGACTAATCACTTCCTGTTTGTGTTTTTGCTGCTGCAGCCTCAGCGTTTCCTCAGGCTCCCGTTTAGCTGCTCAACTCTTTGAAAGCATCAACTGTGATTTGTGATTTTTGGCGACCAGCTGAGGTTCCTCCAGAACGACCGCTCTGCTACCTCGAGATGCATCTCTGACGCAAAACACATGAAGAAGAAGACAGGAAGAAATGCCCCCGTCTGATTGGCTGTTAAAGTTTCAGCTGTTTTCAGTCTGAAACGCTTCAGTGCATTCTCAACAGTTTGATGAAAGATAAAACATGTAAACGCACAACTTCCTCAAATTTAACAGATAGAAAGAAACAAAAGTTACTTTTCTGTCATTAAAAGCCAGATTGTGGCAGAAATCAGGAAACTGAGAGGGTTTCATATTTTCCAGTTGTTTTATTAATATTTGTTGAGTCATCACAGCGTCGCCATAGAAAACGTAGAAAGACGTGAATCACTGAGTTTAAAGGAAGTTATTTTATTTAGGGGAAACGTCTGAGAGGTTCAAATTTACTCCTACGGTATAAACATCAACTCGACTGTTGGATAAAAACATTTTTATGAAACTTTTATGATCAAATTTGTAATATTTAGATGTTTTTTGAGTCTTTCCAACTGAAAAAAAATTCATGTTCTAACAAATTCAGAAAAATAAAACTTTTCATGACTCAAATAAATCACTCAGAAAATTATTTCTTTGTTTTTATATCTAAAAATAAATTTTAATTTTAATCTCTTCCTTTTAAATTAAAACATTAATATTTTATGTAAACATGATTATAGTGATGATTATATATTACAGGTTTCTCCATTCATGTTTTCAGGCTGACCTCTGACCTCTAACTTGTCTTTTCAGGAACCAGAATGTTTTTTTTTTGAGCCATTAAATATTTTATTAATCATTGTCATTTCATAAATTTGGAAAAAGAAAATGAACAGCAGGAAAAAAGGGTGAAATTTATTTGAGTATTTCTAGTTTTTTGATTTATTTGCTTTGCAGCTTTTAGCAGCTTCATCCTGGACATTTTTGAATTAAACAATATTTATTTGCAGAACTTTCACTGTACTGATGTAAATGCTGTAAAATATGGTATTACTGCTTACAGTATGTTGAAGTAATCTTTCATTTTGTCATTTTCGCTTTAATCCTCTGAAAGTAAACAGAGCAATCTGTCCCTCTTCACCTTATTGGAGCAAAAATTAATTTTAATTGACTCTCAACCAAAATCAGGTTTTTATATTTCTACTGATTTTGATCAACTTGATTCAAAATGCCATGTTTGTGTGTTTAACTAGATAAAGATAATTAAATATTTATGATCAATTAGTTTTAATTACTACCAACTCAAATATTTTGTCATAAATATGTATATGGTATAGATCAGTCAGGTCCTCGAGAGCTAACGTCCTGCAACTTTTAGATGCAGCCTTACTCCAGCAGACCGAGATCAGCTCTGAACAGGCCTGGTAACGAGTCGTTCATTTGATTCAGGTGTGTTGGAGCTGGGATGCATCTCATAGTTGCAGGATGGAAGATCTCCAGGACTGGACTTGAGCTCCCCTGGTATAGATGAACATGTAACGTATGTAAGGGACCGACTGCAAATAACTGCACAAAAAATATACAATTTAGGGATGGGAGATATACTTACCCAGTAGAAAAATACAATAAATGTTTAACAGTGTTTCAATACATTAGCATTTGTTTTGATGGCGTGTAAAAAGACATTTGAGAAATAAAACAATGAGCTTATGTGCATGTTAGGTTATTAATATGCTCATTAATGCAAAACATACTTTTATTGGGGAGTTTAGAAAAATGCGTTAGATTTAAAATAACTGAAAATGTTTCCGATAAAATATTTATTTTCTGTCGAATCTGCGGAGATGAAAATGAACCCACCGTCTTTTTAAAGCCCTTTACCTAAAACAAGTTTCTGTTTTTCTGCAGGATGTTAACGGGATTTAAGAGCTAAAGCGGCGCTATGATGCAGCAGAACCAGGACAGAACCAGGAACCCGACCAGAACCGCTCCAGGAAACAGGAAACCAGCAGCTAACCGTGCTAGCTGAAGGAAAACAGCTCTCACCTTGTTGGTTCTGTCACTGTTTCACCAACCGAACCGTCCAGAAGACCGAGCTCCGAACACCATGACGGTACCGCCTCCACAGGTTCTCCAGAACCGAAAGAATCCGTTGATTTAGCGAAAATCCTCAGGATGGAGACGCTGGCAGACCGAGTCCGTTCAGACTGTCGACAGCAGACTGGCACCAAGTGCGTCTTTACGCACACTCACTTCCGGAACAGACTGTCAAAATAAAAGCAGCCAAACAAACACGTCGTCAAATCCTTTAAAAATATTTGTTTCTGGTAAGAAAATCGTCGTGTAGTAGATGAAAAATATAATTAGATCACAGATTTTTCATGAAACTTCATTTTTGCTCTTAGAAATTTGAGCAGAACCAAACAAGTCCGCCGAGACCTTCAGAATAAAAGCTGCATGGGCGAGGATGTCATAAAACTTAGCATCGCGATGCTGAGGGTGTGAAGTTGAACTACTAGTCATAAATACATATATATTTTTTTCCTACTGTTTATCCAGCATGCGCTGCGATGAAACGTTACAAAGACCAGATTACAGCTGGTCACGGGGGGCTGGGTCCTGACGTCACATCCGCTAACCTACATATTAAAGCAGCGTGCAGGGCTGTCAGACAAAGGCGGAGTGGGGGTTGCTGTGTTCACCGAGCCCAGGCTTTCCACAGCCGCTGCGTGGGCGTGATTTCTGTGTCAGGAAAACTGGGAGACTCCTGCGTCACGTGACTGCTGCTGCGGACTTTCCAGAACAAACCGCCTGCACATCATGCGGGGCTGTGCGTGGAAAAACAAGCTGCTTTGTTTATAGCAGAGTGAAAAATGCAACCATTAAGAGCAGTTTATTAATAAATGCAGAAGAAATCATAAGACCACATCTCAACTCATTAATAGAAAAACTGATTCTTTAAAAACATTTACATATTTATACAGGAGGAAACAAAGACATGTTTCTGAGATAAAACTGTTCATCAGAATTTCAGGCAGAGAAATAAAATTGATCAGAGTTCAGGGATTTATTCAGTAGAAACATCGACTCATCCAGGTCAAATTTATGAATCCATAAAAATCTCCACCTTCGCCCCAATCAGGGACGTCTGGCGGTCCGATTCCTTCATCTCTGGTTCTGCTTCAACTCCAGCAGAACTCACTGAACCCGAGCAACAATCTGGAATATTGATCCGGTCATGGAGAGAAAAACATTGTAACCACATCATTCCTTCATCTATAAATGTCACAGTGAGTCACTTCCTTTTCTAAATATGTAGCCTGGTTACTGAACATGTAGCACATTTAGCTTGGTAACTAGCAGTCAGCTAGCAAGCTACTTCTACATGTTCAGCTAACAAGATAAACATTTACGTTTCATGCTAAATATTTATCTCGCTACCTAAATGTGTTTTATGAAGGTGTGACATTCATGCTGGGCTGAATGAGCCAGGTTATCGCCCGAGTTGTTTCCTGTTTGGGTGGTTCTGTCCAGCCGGACCCGGGCTACATGCTGAAGATGTTCCCCAGCCGGTGGACGGCCAGGTGGATCCGACCCGCCAGCCACAGCTCGTCCTTCAGGTGGCGTCCCACCTGCTCACAGTGCAGGACGTCGCAGAACACCCAGATCTCCGCCCGCTCCCGCTGGATGTTGGCGTTGCAGGTCGGCAGCCCAGCGCGGCGGACGGAGCGGCTCAGGCAGCGCCAGGCCTGGAGGGACAGAGACGGAGGAAGACAAGGCTCCTCATCATCAGTTTCAGAAAATGTTTCCTGGTGACGATCACTGCAGGGAAACACGGACGGATCGGGTCAACACTGGGTTTTATTTTATTACCTAAATCCGTCCAGCATCACCCAGGAACCAGACCTCAGGGATCACCTGACTCAGGGTCAAAGGTGGTACAATGTAAACAGAGACGGAAATCGCTGAGTGGACGAAATCTGATCAAAATGATGAACTCAGCGGAAAAAAGTGATAAAGATCCAGAATCCCAGCAGAAACAAACCGGCTAGAGTTCTGGTTCTGATCTGCTGGGTCAGAGTTCTGGTTCTGATCGGCTCTGATCAGCTGGATCTCATTTATGATCAGGCAGAGAGGAGAACACCAAAGGAGAAGGGCTTAAAAATTAAATTTCTCTTTTCCTTTTATTCCAAATTCAAATTTCCAGATTAATTTTTTTCTTAACAAAATTACAAATAAAAAAGTATCTTAAGACATTTACTGATTTTAATAATTCTCTGTGTGAGCTGACCTGAAATGAACAAAATATGTAAAAATCATTTATTAAACCAGATGACGGTTCTTGGTCAGTTCGTGTCTAAACCAACCCAAGGAGTGAGTTGGTGAGAAACATCCAGATTTGACAAAAATTAAATCTTCAAAAAGAGAAAGGTTGATAGATTTATGGTCCAGCCGCAGTGGGAGGAGCCTAACCGTCCCTGACGTCAGCTCAGTCCCACCTGGACAGGAAGCATCCAGGTGTTCAGAGCATCTGGATGGGTTTGTGTGTTTCCCTCTAACTGAACAATCAGGAAGTAGGTCCAGTGGAAGCCCCGCCCCCTGCAGCCACTCACCTCCTCCAGGTCGCTGCAGTTCTGCTGGGTGATGACCCACTTGGCGCGCTGGCGCAGGTGGAGCCGGTGGAGGGACACCAGGCGACGGAGACGGGAGGACAGAGACATGCGGCTCTCCACCTGGACTCCGCTCTGCCTGGAGACGCTCCAGGACCTCCTGACCGCCGGGACGTCTCTTTCAGTCCCTGGACCGGTTCCGGGTGCCACGAGTTGGACACGGCCGGGCGCGTCCTGCATCCAGTCCGTTATCCCAGGCTGGTTCTCTGTGGGGACGCCCCCTGCTGGGCCGATGCGGGGAGGTGGTTTGGCCGGTCTGATGGGCCGGCGGTGGGCGGAGCCGCGGGGGAACCAGGGCCTGAAGGCCGGCGGCGGCCGGAGGGCCGGCGGCTCCAGCAGCCTCTGAGTCTGCTGCAGCAGGGTGGAGAGGCGCAGCGCCGAGCCGGGCCGGTAGTGCAGAACCACACGGTCCATCCAGAGGGACTGGGTCACAGGACGAATGGGACGGCGGTCCTCTTCCTCCTCTTCCTCATGACGGCTCAGACAGAGCCAGGCTGAGGAGACACACCGCCGCACGAAGTTAGACGTATTGTCACATCATTTAGTAGCATATTAAAATTTTGATTTAATGACGTTCAAAACACAAACTCACCGTTTGTTTCTTTAAGTATTTTCTCTACTGTTTACTCAATAAAAATGATCAATTAATGTTTATTAATTTGAAAATGTGATTAAACTGAGATACTTTGAGCAGCTTAGTGATACTAATTTGTAATACTAAGCGTATTACAAACAGTTAATCAATTCAAAAATATTTGATTGATCCCAAAATGAAATATGCTTTTCTAGAGCAGAACCTCTGGGAGAAATAATAACGTTTTTATCATCACTTCTATCATCATCTAATTATTACCGTCAAATATCCTGATGAAACTTTAAGTCCTTATGACTTCCTGTGAACTTGACTTGTAAAAAAGAAGATTTACAAAATATTTTAGCTTCTATTTAATTTTTATTGTGGAGGGTTAGCTTGCTGCTGATGCAGAATAAAAGCTAAAGGCCAAAGACTAAACGGGACTCCTGGCATCACACTTGTGTTAAAAGTCCTCCACCTTGTGGCCGGAGTGGGAACTGTCAGGGTCTTTTATCAACAGTCAATATTTAAAAAATAAAGCTGCATGAGAAAGGTTTTGTAGCACAGATAAAATAATGCTCACTTAAAACACTGGGATATTTTTGTGAATATAATGGATTAAAAAATGAAGAGAAAAAAAACCAAATAAAGTAGAACTAAACACAGCAGATGATCCTTTCTAGTCTCTGGTTTCAGCGGCGAAAATACCAGAAGCTACTTTAACCTTGTTTGGATTCTCATCACACAATATTTCTAATGTTGGAGTAGAACTGAGTTTCAGCTGGAAACATTGATAATAAACACGATAATAGTTGTAAAAACAGCTGAAAGCTAATATTTACAGCTTAGCCGCTAGCTTGCTAGCAGATTATTATTGGCTCAGGAACAACCTTCACACGAGCCAAAAACAGTAAACATAAAGCTGAGCTGTTACAGAAACAGAGCAGACATGTTTTATGTTTCATACACACCAGAACAATTTGGACTCTAGACACGAACAACCGGCGCCATCTTGGAAGTTGACGTCGTTTTATGTGAATTCTCGCGAGTTTTCCGTAATTCCAGCAGCTTCACCGGAAGTCTGCTTATCTCAACGGGTCCGCCATGTTGGGAAGGGCAAAAGAGGCAGGCAAATAACTTACGAGAACAGGATAGCTGATTAAGAGATTGTTTTAGATTTCACATTTTATTAAACTTTCAATACAATTCTTTCAAATATGCTGACTCTTTTCAGGTATGCTATTTTTAGTAGGTGTAGAATTTTTAACTCATTTTGTAAAATCCCTTGCTTCGTTTTATAAAACAAAATAACTAAAATAAAACAAAAAAAATAAATATAATTGATTTATTTGGATATGATAGAACAACAGGTTGGTTCTGATCTGTTCTCTTTCTGGTTGAAACGTTTGGGTATTTATTCCCTCTGGTTCTGGATGCCGTGCAGCTGGAAGGATACAGCAAGTCTTCAGTCAGAGGTCTCTGGAGTCACTGCATCACTGACTGCTACTGGAGGTTTTTCCTCAGTTTAATGCTGAGCACAGCTGAACTACATGAAGCAGAATCTGTAGTTTGTAGCTACTGCTGGGCAGCGAGAGCAGAAGAGACGGAGGCTGCAGTAGTTTGTCAATAGGACATTTTATTTCATACGTCTGTTGTCTTACAGTAATATAGTTGCTGAGATGACCACCGGCTGCAGCCTGGACACCTAAAACTGACAGCTGGACTACTTGAAGCAAACTTTTTTGTTCCTATATCTTTATATCTTAAAATGATGTTGCAACAGAAAAAAAGCACATTTGCCATCAGATGTGTGGTGACGTCATGTCGGGTTATAGAGAGGTGTAAAAAAGAAGAAGACAAGAAACCTGCGATGTTGTAAAAGGATTTGATTATGGCACATTTGGTCCACGTCGGTCGTTTTATTATCTTGTTTTTCTCAGACATGTAAGAAAGGAAAAGGAAAAACTAAAATAGATGATAGTTTAGGTGTTTTCTCCCCAGAAGCACAGCATTAATGACAGCATATCGACAACACGGCTGCAGAGGAGGTCGCTTCTCTGTGAGCTTAAAATTTATCAGCCAATCAGGATCTCCCTGGTACAGAAACATCATCATCATCATCATCAGAAATATTAATAACTTCTTTCCATCCAAAATGAGAAGGGGCGGGGGTGAGAAAGGTGTGTGTGGGGGCGGGGCTGTTGGTGGATGACGGACAGGAAGGGGGCGGGACATTCACAGGAAGTAGTCGGGCGTGCGTCTGGTCACGTGAGGCTCACCGCGGCGAGGGGCGGGGTCAAACTGCAGGCTGAGGACGAAAACATTCAGTTACAATCAGCTGACAGGAAGTCACATGAAAAACATTCAGTTCATCCAAATATGAAAAAAATAAAAGTTAAATTACCCTGAAAATTTACTAGAATAAAAATTAAATATCATTTCTGTGTCACAGGTGGAACAACTGAATATTAGGCCGCAATTGATTATTTTAGTAATTGATTATTTGGATATGATACATTTTTTGGATAAAATAATTGGCACAATAAATGATCTTATTTTATCCACTAGAAATTCATTAGGATGCAGATAAATAATAATAGTGTCAGTCCTGAATAAGGGAACTTCTTGCAGGTCGACTCACAAAGAGTATTTGAGGGTGTCGTCCAGTTCCATGATGGCCGCCTGGTTGCCACAGCGGTAGCAGTAGTTGGGAGCACTGAAGATGGTCACCACGTTCTTGTCGTGGCCCCAGTTGTAGCCCTGATGGACGGAGACAGATCAGTCAGGCCCTGAACGCATCGTTCTCAGCTCTAACGCTCACATCTCTTGTGTTCGTTTCACTTCGACTCCATGATTTAATCCTCCAACCAAACAAACTGCAACGTCGTTCACAGAACATCTGCTTCACAATCTTCAGTGGTGTGATTGCCACGGTTACCTCCATGACCAGCTGATGGGCGCGGGACACCAGCGTGAGGCCGTTGGCGTGGTTGAACGTCTCTGAGATGTCCTGACCGAAGGTGTAGCCGGCGCCGCGGGGGGAGATGCCCCATCCGCCGCGGTCGTCCGGGTCGGACCACAGCAGGTCGCACATGGGGCCCTGAGGGACACCAAGAGTTACAGCCGGCAGACAGAGGGTATGGGGGGCAAATGGGGGGAGCATGTACCTCATGTGGGACCTCCTGCAGGCGGTCCAGGGCCCGTATGTGGTCCAGAGTGTCGATGGACGGAGACAGGCCTCCATGGAGACAGAAGATCTGGAGCAGACAGGAACACATTAGCTTTAGGCTAACAACGCAGCGACCCCTTCCTGCCTCGCCGGCGCCCTCACCTGGCCGTCCACCAGCGCGGTGAGCGGCAGGTAGTCGAACAGGTCTGTGAAGTACTTCCAGACGTTGGCGTTGCCGTATTTCCTCAGGCACTCGTCGTAGAAGCCGTAGACCTGCGTAATCTGCCGGGACTCGTGGTTCCCCCGCAGGATGGTGATTCGCTCCGGGAAGCGCACCTGGAGGGTGAGGCAAGCTGGATGTCAAGGCTCCATTCCAGCCAATCAGGTCAAACACTGAATAACCTGACTCTGTTCCTGCTCAGTGAACACATCAGAACCTCAGGATGTGATTGTGATCCAGGAAGCAGTTTGGATGACGACTCAGTGATTCTGAGGTCACCAGCAGCTGCTCTTCCTGTCTGACATCACTTCCTATGGACTCTGATCAGCTTACAGGAGCAGCACTAAAGCTGCAGAACGACCTCTGACCTCTGCTGAGAAGGCAGCGTTACCTTTAACGTGACCAGCAGGGTGACCGTCTCCACAGAGTAGTAGCCTCTGTCCACATAGTCGCCCATGAACAGGTAGTTTGTGTCGGGAGACTTCCCTCCGATCTTGAACAGCTCCATCAGGTCGTGGAACTGACCGTGAACGTCGCCGCACACCGTCACCGGGCATCGCACCTGGAGGGGGAGCGGAGCGTTAGACACAACCTGGGAAACATGGCCGCCTCGCACCACTACACAAACCAGGACAAACGTCTTTAAGACTCAACAGTGAAAAAGACATCAGATGTTTAATATTAATAACTACATAAACCAGCTGATTCTTGTTCATCTCGTTCAATTTTCCAGCTGTTCAAATTTTCAGAACAAAACCACATATGACCCAAATCCAACAAAGTTCTAAATGAATAAATTATTATTCACTTAAATACATTTTCAATAGTTCTGCAGTGAGTAATTTAGATTTAAAAATTGATAGGTTCTGCAGATTTTTCATTTAACCAGTTGAGCCTTTTTAGACAATATTAGAACTACATTAAAAGATGAGAATGAACTAATAATTTAATTCCCTTTGTCAATAAGAAAACATTTTATTTTCTAAAGTGAATTTAATTTCTAAATTATTTCAATAATCAATTTATCATTCAGATTAATTCCTAGTTTTAAACTAAGTTCAGATCATTTCTGAACTCAAACTGATATGTTTTTCATAAACATAAAAAAATTATTGTTTTATTTTAGACAGAATCAGATGTAGTTCTTACATCCTTCCTGCAGGGGGAGTAATTCCCAGACACACCATGTTATTCCTGCCAGAGCCCAGAGCGGTCGGGTTCTACCAGAACCTTTAATGGACCGCTGTCTCGTCTCCGAGGAAACGGTTCATCTGGACTGAGACAGAAACTCCAGGATGTTTACTGGCAAAAGTTAATCTATAAAAGATTTCAATGTTTTATGAGGATCAATAAATGGAAATAAAAATGATTTTAATCAGTTGAACTTTGACCCCCAACAGGAAGTGATGTCACTGCTACACTGCATTACAGGAGGAATCTGTTGTTGTCTGGGAACAGGACTGGCTGGGTGAGGACTGGACCCGGTTCAGAACCAGAACCTCACCAATCCCTCCTCCAGCATTTCCTCCTCTGTGGTGGAGTCTGTTTGCCGAGTTCTGATTGGTCGCCACCGTTTGGATCAATAGATTAATAATTTATGTTTCAGAGGCCAGACCAGAGGTCGGCAACCCAACATGTTGAAAGAGCCATATTGGACCCAAAAAACAAAAAACTAATCTGTTTGGAGCCGCAAAAAAGTAAAAGCCGTATATAAGGCAAAACAGGCTCTAGGTGATTATATTAGCGTATTATCAAAATGACTAAGTGTATATATAATTAGTGTTCATGATTAAATGTTTATTTTCCCAGCAGTGCGTCCTGGAAGGAATGACGCATCACGTGACTCTTCTGTTGTACGATGGAGCTTTAAGTTAACCTTCTGTTACAATATGAACGCATTTACAAAATTAAAGAAATGCAATAAAGAAATCAGATTTTTGATATTTTTATTATGAAGAGCGACAGGGAAAGTGTCATTTTTTTCCCTTTTTGGAACACAGAAAATCTGCCCCCAAATGCAGTTTGCATAACGACGATCGCTCTTTGTGAATAATTACCGTTAAGTGTGTGATCAAAAAAACAACAAACGGAGTGTAATAAAACGGCAGCCTTTTGAAAACGGAAAGTATATAAAATTAAATTAATAGAGTTTAAGTTCAATTTCTGTGCACATGCCAAGCAAGTCAGTGCAACAGTAACACAAAGCAGCCATGAGCAACACGACCCGACACAAAACAATATCACTGAGTGTCATTCTAAATGTATACTGATGAAAATTACTGTATCCCTTATTTATGTATGTTTTCAGGGTTTTTTTTCTCCAAAAAAATTTGTAATTTCGGCTATTATTGAGATGCGCTCCAGAAAGTACGGTACTCTTTTCGATATTTGACAACTTGTCGCGGCAGACCAAACATTCAGGCGATTCTTCCACACTGGCAACGAATGCAGAGGATTCGGTCCAAGAATTGTAGAATTGAATGTTTCTTCTACACATTTTTATAGCATTGGAAATCGTTAAGAATGATTGTGTTGTGTTTGTCCTCCTCCAGAAACCATAATAAAACAAAAAATATATTTCCCAGCCCCATCTTTTCCCATTTTCAAACATTTTTGATGAAGCTCCAAAGAGCCACTGGGGCGGCGCTAAAGAGCCACATGCGGCTCTGGAGCCGCGGGTTGCCGACCCCTGGCCTAGACCCATGCTGGTTCTGTCCCGACCTGTTTGGGTCACTGTGACCAGAACCGGTTCAGAGAAATTAACTCACTTCCTGGACGTTGGACTCCTTGGTCAGAATCTCCTTCGCCTGAAAGGAAAACACAATCAGATCAATAATCAATATCAGGATATGGATCAATCACAACTTCATCACATCCTTCTGTTACAGGGTCAGAACCGACCGGTTTCCATGGAAACCACCCATGGAGGACATGAAGCTGGTCCAGTGGAGCCCGAATGATCCGATGTTTATCGGAACAGCAGCAGAAGAAAGGCTAAAGGTCACGACCTCTGCTGGGTGTCAGGAAACCTCCATGATGCTTTATTTTCAAATGATAAAATATTTAATATTATGACCGCTATGATGAACCAGCATAAACAAACTGATATTATTGTCTCATAATTAATAATAACTTATTTTTTAACCTATTTATTAGATGCTGGATCATGAGGATGACAGTCGGCTTCCCTGAGCCTCAGACCAAAACAAACATGGCCGACAAAGCGTCTGATTGGCCGATCAGTTTGTACTGGAGTTGGTCAAACATCCCATAATAAACGCAGGGCTGCTGATTCATTGTTCATTTTCCTTCATTCTCTGTTTGACTAATTTAGGGGAATAAAAGGAATTATTTACAATTTAACCGATGAACGCTTTATTTTCCCTCCAGAGCTGAAGGAACAAACAGACGATCTGTTCCGGGTCGGGTCAGAACAGAACAGAACCACCTTCCCTTTCTGAGAGTCTTTATTTATTTTAAAAATTATTTTTAATTTGCTTCAATCTAAATTTGTTTTTATGGGGAATAAAACCGGCGTCAGACTGAGCAGCTGGTTTACCAACACCGATATGACTTCAATAAAACAGGAACATATTTGACCTCATCTTCATGTTCAGAACCATTTGATGTTTTAAAAACCACTCTCAGGTTCTGGTTCATAACCGGTTCTGAACTCGCACATCTGTCCATAAGCATGAGATCCATAGATCAGTTATTAATTATAGTAAAACTGATTCTGATACCTGCTGGTGTTGAGAGGAGAAACATGGTTTTCTCTGCAGGTTTGATGTTTTCAGACTATTATTTACATATGAATGTGTAAATAATAATAACTCCTCGACTGACCTTTAGGCCTGATCAACAGGAACGATCCGGGTCCATCAGAGATGATCAGAGATTACTACAGATCATATTTCTGGTTATTAAAATAATAAGACTGGATGGAAGTGGTTCTGGAGGGCGGCTCAGTGTCAGTCCAACATGGCCGCTGCCTCCTGGTTCATATTCAGTCTGATAACAGATCTGTTTCACATAGATCTGTATTAAACCGAGCTGAAAGCTAAGTCAGCATCAGAGATGGATCAGATATGAATTTCTTTGTTCTTTGATGTTTTCATTAAACTTTTAACAAAAACAAAAATGTATTTCTTCTCATCTGTTTCTTCTGGAGACCCTAAATATGACTTTTTAAAAGTTCAAACTCCAACTCCACTATAACATGTATTAATACTAGGGCTGCACCGATTGCAGTTTTCTGGCCGATTCCAGATCTTTTAAAAAGCCTAACTTACCGATTATGATTTTGGCCGATACCATTTTTTAGTCTCAAATGTTGCTCAATATATCAAGAAAGTTGCTGAATTGGCAACAATGGGGTGGCTATTGTCAGCTGTAAATGTGCAGACGGTAATTGGTCGGTTGGTTTTTAGACCTTTGCCAACGTTGATAACATCGGTGGATAAAATCAACTTCACACTGATCCCCCAAAATTAAGGAAATCAGCACCAATAATTGGCTGGCTGATAAATTGGAGCTCTCCTAATTAATACGCAGACTGGAAACAGTCTTTGCTCTGCAGCAGAAGCTAACGTCTACAGCCTGACGGCGGCTCGTCGCCGTACAGCCAATCAGCCAAGAAAAGGACTGGTGCTAGCCAATAGCATGTCAAGCGTTGCATTTAGACACTTTGACTTCACAAGCTTCAGTTTCTCTCTAATGTTTTAAAAATTAATGTGAATAAATTTGGTTTCTCAAAGAAATCTATGAGCAGAGTTTGCCGTTTCATTGGAAACCAAAAACAGCAAAGCATTTCCTGTTTGGGAGTTTGTTGGATTTATGTTGCTGCTGCTTATAGATGCAGAGAATACGCAAAACACCAACTAGTTCTACCATTAATGAAACTTTAATCAACCAGTACAGATAACTGATCAGGGGGAACTTTATTGTAAAAACAGTTGTAGTCAAAGCAGTAATTCATACACTTAATTATGACTGACTTGACTATTCAAGTTAAATTGGGGTACAATAATTATTACACACAGAAGAAATTTTAATAATTAGTGAAAAGGCCTAATAACTACAATGTGCCTCTAGAGAAAATCAGCAGCGCTTCATTTTTCAGGTTCTCCCTTTAATAGACCAGATCCAATCAGCTGATCAATCCCATGAAGTTCAACTCAAACTATGACATCACGGTGGAAACATGATGAAATATTGCTTAAAGTTGTTGTAAAACGACTGAGTTTTTAGATTTATACAATAAATCTTTTAAATATAAAGTAGTAAATGTTTTCTTTTCCCAGGAATAAAGCTCCAGATTTTATGTGTGGCCTGTTCCTCCTTCAGCCAGCGCAGCTGATCATTCATGGATTGACAGCCACAAACATCCTGCCACTTTTCAGAAAGCCGTATGTTGGGGTTCATAAGGACGGTGATTCAGAGCTGAACGGCTCTAAATGTATTTATTTCAGTTGCAGCACCACGCTGGAGCCGTCTAAAGTCTGGGAGGCCGGACAGCTTTATGCAATAAAACCTCTGATCGATCCGGGGAGGGTGCGGTGGAGCCGGACGGCGTCACATTAACCGATCCGCTGGTCACTGAGCTTCTGAAACCAATACATACTGGAAATAAGGGCGTTTCAGCGGATAAGGAAAGGCAAAATCTAGTTGGTTTAATTAACGGATGGTAAAATGGGCTGCGTCTATTTGATGGGTGAATAGGGTGCGCATTTTCGGCCCGTCAGTTTTTAATTTGTGGTTTCATAAATATCTTTATATATACACGTTTACCTAAAAAAACTGAAAGACTGGTCGTGATTTATCTTCAACACGGCACACAAACACCGTCGAGCTCCGTGTGGCGGCTCTAAAACTGGGCCAAAAACCCTCAACGTAACTGCCTTTCCAGGAATTAGACCGAGCCGATGGGGCCTACTATGAAATGGAGGTCAGTGGAATCAGACGGGAGTACCTACCTTCTCACAAAGCGTCCGGACTTGGTTCTCTGTCAGCTGCTTGCACTCGTTGAGTTGCTCAATCCACTGGTCTAACTCTTTAGTGAAAGTTTTGTCCTCCATGACGGCAGCTGTGTTAAAACTGAACCAATCTGCGTTTCAGCCCCTGGCTTCAGCTCCGCGTATTGTTATACCAAACCCAGTCCCGCCGAACAGCGAACAAATTCAACAACTACACCGAAAAATATCGATACCTTCAGATCACGTCTGTCATTATAAACCAGGTGTGTTAACTACCCGACATTAAAAACTGTTTCTGAGAGCTGCGGGAGCCAAAAGCATCGAAAGTCCCCGATGCGGCAGAACGGAGCGGCGTCGCAGAGGCTAAAAGAGCTAGCTGCAATAACATCCGGGTACTCTACCTTTGCGCAGATTCGACTCAGCAGCGACGCCAAGTGGAGAGGGCGTGAACTGCAAAGGAGCGCTAGGTGGCGCCAACGTAGAGCTGCATTAAAGCAGAGCGACATTAATGGAGTGAAAAACGTTTGTTTTCAAGTTACCTTTTCAAGTAAAAATATGTTTTTACTTTTGAATATATCACTATAATAATAACAATCAAAAATGTATTTTCATAGCACTTAAAAATAATTGTTAGGTGAACCAAAGTGTTTAAAATTGATAAAAAAAAATAAAATAGCACCATTTAATTGGTTTGGAGACGGCTTAGTCAACACTGGCTTTTGGTAAAATAAAGTGAATTACAATCAACCAGACGTGAAATAAATAACTGAACAGCCTGTTCAATGATTTTAGAAAAATTGTAAAGAAATCGTAAAAGAAGGTTGTCTACCTATTTGTTTGTCAAATTTAAAATTTCAGCCAAAAAGCACAAGATTTATCAATGGAAAGGTGCACCTTGGACAGGTAGGACATCTACTTACTAGATGTTCTAATAAGTACAGTCAGGCATCTACTGTACTTTAAAAAAAGAAAAGAAAAGAAGCCCACTAAACTTCTTATCTGCTTACTCTACATTCACCTGAACTAATTTGCTGAATTAGTTAGTTCAGCGAATTAACTAATTCAGCTGAACTAAATTCAGCTGATTAGTGAACTAATTCAGTGAAGTTAATAGTTCTGCAGATAAAAAATAGTATTAGAACAATCAAGTTTGTGTTAAAATAAGAGAAGAGAAACATTATTTTTATCCTGGCTCTATTCCTGTAGTTTAGTAGGAATTCGTTGTGAATTTCTATGTCGCCGCATGGTGGCACTATGAAGCCGCCAGGGTGTCTCACAGACCACGCTAAGCTTGAAGAAGAAGCCATTAGCTTCCAGTCAGCTGCGTGTTTACCGCACCTGAAAAAAAAATCTTCTTCACGTGACTTTAATGAGTTGAGAACTTAGATCAAACCGGTCTTTTTGTCGGTGTAGCTTTAACTCCAACTATGGCTCATCTGACTGAAAACCCCGCTGATAAAGAGAGGTAAGTACAGCTCAGCTAGAGCTAACGGAGCTAGCTCCTCAACCAGCTGAATCCCCATAGAAGCCCCGGTGGATTTAATAAAACAACAGAATATGGTCACCTTTATTAGATAACTGCTCGAATTTCTGCAAACAGGTCGATATGAACCTCTCTCTGTAATTCGGCATAGATTATTTCAGATTTTAGTTGACAGATGATACAAACTTTGGTGGTTTTCCATGAAGTTTGGCTTGGCTCTGAGCTCCTTGGCATGACGTGTATTATCTCTTCTACGTTTTATTGTGTTTCAGGATTATAACCACAGATAATTCAAGTGTTATTCCGAATTTCAAACTTATCTTTTTCTTAATGTGAGATAATTTCTAAAAATTGAATGAAAGCCTGTCCATTTTCCTTCAGAAAGTCGGTTTGAACTTCCAGGCGTTTAGAGACTTTAATGTTCTTCTTTAACTATATAAAGTTTCTCTCGTGTTTCCATCCTACAGGATCTACTGGGGAAAACCTGACCGAATTCAAATTTATTAAGCAACTGAACAGAAATGTTTTATTTGGTTCTGTTAAAAAGTGATCATTTGGGCTGGTGTATATATAAATTATTCTGTGAAGCGCCTCAGGGTTTTATATTTGGACCTACTTTATTTGAGTTAAAATAAAAGGTTATGATTAAATAATTAAGCAGTGCTCTTTTAAAAACCTTGTTACATTAAAACAGATGAAGGAAATGATTTCCAGACGCTTGTCCAGCATTCCTGTTGCTTGGAGAAAGACTAAAACATCTTTTTAAGGTTTTGTGTTAAAGCTTGGCTAAATAAAAGTTAATTATTTGGTATCTTAGATACAATATTTCTACAAAAGCCAAACTTGGTTGATTAATTTGTGTATTTGGAACAAATCAGAGCTGCTGTGTGTTGGACTGACTGTAGTTTGATGAAATGTTTTCCTGAAGCCTGAACCACAACATGGGCAAGTCACACAAAACAACTGAGTTAATGAGTTTAGAGATTAATTTAAGGTTTTATCATGTAAATATCTTTTAATCATAATGATGATTAACATCAGCTCAGTCTGATGTCAGACCTGATCTGATCCGCCGTGTTTCAGGTTCATCTGCGTCTATCCCGTCTACATCAACAGCAAGAAGACGCTGGCTGAGGGACGCAGGATCCCCACAGAGAAGGTTTGTCTTTCTGTCGGGGCAGCTGGCGGCACCGACCCAGTACCGACCCAGTACTGACTGGGCGCTGACTGAGCTGCTCCTGCTTTGTCTCCAGGGAGTGGAGAACCCGTCCTGCGCAGAGATCCGTGACGTTTTGACGGCTGCAGGAATGAACGTCTACGTGGAGGTAGAACCAGACCGCATCCCTCACAGAGGCTTCCGGGTCCAAACTCGGCGCCTGATCCGTCCTGGTTCTGTTCTGGTTTCGCTTGTCTTCCAGAACAAGATGCATCCCAGGGAGTGGAACCGGGACGTCCAGTTCAGAGGTCGGGTCAGAGTCCAGCTGAAGCAGACGGACGGCAGTCTGTGTCAGGACAAGTTCAGATCCCGTAAGTTTCCAGCAGGTGGCGCTTTGCCTGGATTTTCCTCTCCTGCAGCTCAGAAGCTAAAAACTCTGAAAGCTTTTCAAAACGTCCAGAACACGAAACCCAGGAGAACCTCCTCCATCCATCAGAGAACGCTTCTGCTTCCTAATCTGTCCTTCAGCCTGCTCCTCTTCCTCAGCCTGCTCCTCTTCCTCAGCCTGCTCCTCTTCCTCAGCCTCCTCCTCTTCCTCAGCCTGCTCCTCTTCCTCAGCCTGCTCCTCTTCCTCAGCCTGCTCCTCTTCCTCAGCCTCCTCCTCTTCCTCAGCCTCCTCCTCTTCCTCAGCCTGCTCCTCTTCCTCAGCCTGCTCCTCTTCCTCAGCCTGCTCCTCTTCCTCAGCCTGCTCCTCTTCCTCAGCCTGCTCCTCTTCCTCAGCCTGCTCCTCTTCCTCAGCCTGCTCCTCTTCCTCAGCCTGCTCCTCTTCCTCAGCCTGCTCCTCTTCCTCAGCCTGCTCCTCTTCCTCAGCCTGCTCCTCTTCCTCAGCCTGCTCCTCTTCCTCAGCCTGCTCCTCTTCCTCAGCCTGCTCCTCTTCCTCAGCCTGCTCCTCTTCCTCAGCCTCCTCCTCTTCCTCAGCCTGCTCCTCTTCCTCAGCCTGCTCCTCTTCCTCAGCCTGCTCCTCTTCCTCAGCCTGCTCCTCTTCCTCAGCCTGCTCCTCTTCCTCAGCCTGCTCCTCTTCCTCAGCCTGCTCCTCTTCCTCAGCCTACTCCTCTTCCTCAGCCTGCTCCTCTTCCTCAGCCTGCTCCTCTTCCTCAGCCTCTCCTCTTCCTCAGCCTCCTCCTCTTCCTCAGCCTGCTCCTCTTCCTCAGCCTCTCCTCTTCCTCAGCCTCTCCTCTTCCTCAGCCTCCTCCTCTTCCTCAGCCTGCTCCTCTTCCTCAGCCTGCTCCTCTTCCTCAGCCTGCTCCTCAGCCTGCTCCTCTTCCTCAGCCTGCTCCTCTTCCTCAGCCTGCTCCTCAGCCTCCTCCTCTTCCTCAGCCTGCTCCTCTTCCTCAGCCTGCTCCTCTTCCTCAGCCTGCTCCTCTTCCTCAGCCTGCTCCTCAGCCTCTCCTCTTCCTCAGCCTCCTCCTCTTCCTCAGCCTGCTCCTCTTCCTCAGCCTCCTCCTCTTCCTCAGCCTCCTCCTCTTCCTCAGCCTGCTCCTCTTCCTCAGCCTCCTCCTCTTCCTCAGCCTGCTCCTCTTCCTCAGCCTCCTCCTCTTCCTCAGCCTGCTCCTCTTCCTCAGCCTGCTCCTCTTCCTCAGCCTGTTCCTCTTCCTCAGCCTGCTCCTCTTCCTCAGCCTGCTCCTCTTCCTCAGCCTGCTCCTCTTCCTCAGCCTCCTCCTCTTCCTCAGCCTGCTCCTCTTCCTCAGCCTCTCCTCTTCCTCAGCCTGCTCCTCTTCCTCAGCCTCTCCTCTTCCTCAGCCTCCTCCTCTTCCTCAGCCTCCTCCTCTTCCTCAGCCAGGCTTTGCAGTCCAGTTTTAAATCGTCTTGGAGAGAAGCTGTCGTGTCTCAGACAGATGTTCCTCTAACATCTGGAGAAGATCCAAACCCGGACTGTGATCAAAACCCGGCTGCTGCTGGTTCCGACGGGAACCCGGCTGCTGCTGGTTCCGACCGGAACCCGGCTGCTGCGCTATCTCTTAAACACTGATCAGAACCATTCGCTCTGCTAAAGCTAATGCTAAAGTGCTAACTAAAAGTCGGCTCTGCTAAGCAAGGTAATTTCACAGTGCAGTTAATGATGCTAAGTTATTTAGCATCATGACTTTTATTTTCTTATCCATCCCAGTTTTTCTCCTCATTCTGTTTTTTACCTCCAGCCTCTAAATGCACAACTGGATGTAAAGTTTTCAGTCATGATGATTTTCTGCAGTAGAACCAGAACCGAACCGACCGTTTGGGTTCAAACATAACCAGAGGATGTTCTTCTCTCCAGGGAAGGACGTGATGTTCTACGTCGCTGAGATGATCCCCAAACTAAAGACTCGAACCCAGAAGAGCGGAGGAAGTGACAGCAGCGGCCAGCAGGGCGAGGGGGGCAAGAAGAGCAAGAAGAAGAAGAAATGACCTCAAACTTCTTCTTGAGGTTGAATCTGAGTTGGACTGAACTGAATCCTGAAACTCCAGCTGCTTGTTTTCATTTTCTCTAGAAGTTTAAAATCCTCTACAGAATTCATCTGTTAAATATTCATCATTCCATCTTTAACTATAAGCTGGACGTTTCTCATCCAGCAGATTTCAGTTCTTCAGTAGAAGCAGATAAAATGTTTATGAATCTTTAAACAAACGTTTGATTTCATCTCCTGGTTTCTGTCACTCAGCCAAACATCTGGAGCTTTAATATTCATTTGTTTGAGCTTCACTGTTTCCTCGTTTGTTACAGAAAGACGAACTGAACCTTTAGCTGACTGTCAGAGTTCAGATGTTTTTCATTTTATGAAAATTTCTGTTGATTTTTATAAACAGGAAACTTTCTGTTGTTCAAATCTCTAAAAATAACAGAAAACTTTGAATTTCAGTAAAACAATTTGAAACTGTTGAGCAAAAACTGACCTAAAATAATAAAAAAAAAATCCAATATCAAAGACTTTGACTAGGCCGTTCTGTTGTAAATTTGCTGGTGGACTATTATGGGATGTTAACGGAGAACAACAATCAGTTCATGTTCGCTGTAGCTTCATAACAACCACTGAACTAAACGCTGCTGTAACTCTGGCAAACACACCTGACCTCTGACCTCTCACTGCTAAGCTAGCTGCAACATTACGGGAACACTTCCTGTTGGAAATATCAAAATAAGAGCACTTCATGTTACTCAGATGTTAAACATGTTTTTTTTTTTACTTTGTCCACATTTTCTCAAGTTATTTTTGCCTCTTTCAATATTGTTAAAGTTTCTCACCGTGAGCAGAAACTCAGTCCAGATTCAGAGCCGTAACGTTGAGTTAGCTTCAACTTCATTAATCCTGTAGGGAAGCTGAGGTTGTCTGTGGCTCACACATGATTTCACATCCACACAGCATTAAGGTCGTACAACTGGAGACTTTACCACTAAAAGAGGTCTAGAAAGTGCTTAAATATGTACAAATACTAGTTACCCCGTCTCCCACTCTTGCCCCTCCCAGGGGTAGCAGCATTACAGAGTCTGGAGGCCTGAAGGACAAAGGAGTTTTTAATCCTCAGCTGAACAAACCAGTGAGACGAACCTTTTACTGAGGGACTGAACCCAGTTTAGACAGTGTCCTCTAGGACTGAACTGAGTTTGGACAGTGTCCTCTAGGACTGAGTTTAGACAGTGTCCTCTAGGACTGAGTTTAGACAATGTCCTCTAGGACTGAACTGAGTTTGGACAGTGTCCTCTAGGACTGAGTTTAGACAATGTCCTCTAGGACTGAACTGAGTTTGGACAGTGTCCTCTAGGACTGAACTGAGTTTGGACAGTGTCCTCTAGGACTGAGTTTAGACAGTGTCCTCTAGGACTGAGTTTGGACAGTGTCCTCTGCTCCACCACTGTCTCCAGACTCCAGGCTCACACCCACTCTGGGTTTATCCCGTCCAGAATCTGTTCAACATGAACAGATTTTAATCTAGTTTTTCTTAAATAAATGTTTTTGTATTTAATGAAGTAAATAAACATTTAATCAATTTTCTGTACTATATAATTCAGTGTTTAGTAGATTTATGGTTGCAGAATTAAACATGAAATGATTAAAAAAACAACTATTGGTGAATATTTAAAGATGAATATTAAATATTTATAAAATTTATAACGGGAGAAAAAACTGTTTAATTTCAGCTGTTAGAGATGAAGACAGAAACTTTAGTCAGATTGAAAACAGACATGATGAAATGAATCAAACTTTTTATTAAACCAGTGAAGCGTTCAGACAGCATCATGTGTTAACATGAAATATGAATCATTAATGCTGTCATGGCAGTAACTGGGCCCAGTTTGATGGTATTTCTGGTCATTTATTGACCTTCAGGTTGAATGTTGGACCTTCATTGATGCTGGGAGCTGCCAGACGCTGATGGGAGATTCTGCTGGTTCTTCACAGCATTAACAAAGTCTCTGCAATCACTGATGAACTTCTCCATCTCCTCCTTCTTCAGCACATTGAGCTCTTGTGCAGCTTCAGCCATGGCTGTGAACTCGTCCTCCCCCTGCTGGTTCTTCTCGACAGTCTGCTGCCAGGCTCTCATCATGGTGTACTCTCTCCCAGCAGCGCGGCCAGTTTCTCCTTGTATCCCTCCGCCGAGCCGCTGAAGCCCCGCAGCGGCTTGTTCAGCCAGCTGCCGCCGGCCGCCATGGTGATGTAATCGTCATTAAACCAGAACCTGTTGTCGTTCATACTCAGAGCCATGAGGGTCAAAGGAAACGTCCGGAAGTTCCTGGCAGATTCAGCGATGACTGAAGCAGTGAAGTACCAGACTGAGAAGAACTCTGTGTTGAAGTCATAGTAGAGGGACTCATTCTGGAAAATCTTCCTCACCATACTAACAAAATTTTTCCTCCCAAATTCCTTGATTTGGCCCCTAATCTTGTTATAATTTTCCATATTCTTCCTGTTTTGCAGCTCAATCAGACCCTTCACAGATTCACGAATACCGTCTTCACCATCTCTGATCCGCTTTCCTATTGGATGAACATACAGAGCGTCATTTAGGACCAGGAACAGCCAATCACTGATCAGCAGGTAGGATTTATCGTTCTCTCCGTCCTTTGCAAAGTGACGGATGATGTTTCTGATGTCACTTCCTGTTTCAATCACATAGCATCTCCGGAGAACATTTTCTTTATGGTTGTTGTCTGACCAGGCGTCTCCCTGCGTGTCTCTATTCCATATGACGAACCTGTTCAGATCCGGATCCTCCAGTCTCCTTAGTTGTTGTGCTGCACCGCCGCCACCAGGGGGCTCTGGATAAAATAATCCCCACGTCAAACCTTCAAGGATCCTCAAGGTATCTCTGACTTTGTTGACATATTCTGTTTTAACATTTTGTTGTTTTTGAGCATTTTTTGGATCGATTAGATATGAAACAACGTCCTTATAGATGTTTTGATCAATGAAACTTCTTATTGCTGTTGGCCATTGTTCTCTGAAGTTCAGCTCATCGTCTCCGTCGCCCAGCAGCGCCGTCTGATTGGTGGAACTTCCTGCCCGGTGCGGCGGCCGTCGTCCCTCCTCCTGATCTCTCCGGTCGGGCCGACGGTCAGAACCAGCTTCTTGGTGTGATCTCCAGATCTCCACCGCGCTCCGTCCTGACTCAGGACGTCTCCCGTCTCCGCCACCTGGACGGCGGTCTTCCACAGGTGCAGCTCCGTCTCCAGGCCGGCTTCACGCAGCGCCTGCAGCAGAGCTTGTGGGAAGCGGCGGTCCGATCCCACGCCACAGGCCACCACTGCAGTAGTTTGGATCTTCTGGCCGATCCTGGAGCCGCTTTGGATGATCCTGGCCACGTCTTGGTAGCTGTACCCTGATATCTTCATCTCTCCTGAAGGCTCTCTGGCTCCATGACCCACCAGAACCAGGCTGCTGCGTTCCGACAGAGGTGCAACCTGACCTTTGACCCCCCAGACTCTGTGCTGGGAACGGACGGCGTGAAGCGAACTGACCGCTGGATGTTTGCGGTAGAGAGAAGCTGCAGCTGCTCTCACCACCTCATCGTCTGCTAACATGATGATCTGCTGCTGGTCAAACTCTACCAGGGGATCATCTGGGCTCAGGCCGGTTCTGGAGGTTCTGGAAACCGGGTCGGCTTCATGAGCTACTTGATTCATCTGAGGGTTCTGGTCGGGTTCTGACTCACAGACTGTCTGGTTGTGAAAGAGCTTTCTGCTGACCGGGAGACGGTGCTGCAGTTCAGACCCATTTTCCAGTCTGGTGTTTCCATCTGATGGGTCGGTGCTGTGGGTCGGAACCAGAACTTCCTGAGTGGAGCTGGGAGAGATATCCACAGCTCTTTGCAGCGGGTCCGCCGTTGTCTGCTGGTCAGAAGCAACCAAGAAGGCGTCCAGAACCTGGAAACCAAACAAGCTTTGGTCAGAACACGGGAAGGTTCTGCTGCGGTTCTGGATGGGATAAACCCAGAGTCGGGCTCTATAAGCACCGAGCAAACTTGATTAAAATATAAATATTTAAAACAAGGTTAATTTATACAAACAAAATTCTATTAAACATGAAAATAATTTAAATATTGATTTTTGTCAATAAATAAATAATGATTAATATTTATATAATGACATATATTTATATAATATTTATATAAGATCAAACTTCACAACTTGTTTACTGTAAATATAATGTTTATCAGCTGAAGTTACTTTAAATAACTGAATAAATAATATGACACTTAAATACACTGCAAAACACAAAATGTCACTTTTGATCTGATTTCTGGTTGATATTTTAGAGCAGCTGAAATAAACAAAAATAACTTCATTCAGATGTAGAATGTCTCAAGTCCATCATTTCTTAACATTGATGTAAAACTCCTTGTTCTACTGGTTGATTATTTCATCTATAAGATGGAAAAATGTTTTATTAGAAGTGGAAAAATCCACCAATGGAACTGAAACTTTTTTATTCATATTAAGGATTTATCTCCTGGAAACAAAATCCTGTTCCTTGTTGAAAAGTTATTTGTAAATTTGTGTCGTTTTATTTCACTAGTCGGTGAAGCATCTGGGCCCCAAAAAGCATTTGACCGGCCCTGAATGAACATCGTCGTCCTGCTGATGAATCAGTTTCTGGTCTTTTATTTTCTGTCTGGGTCAAAGAGGAAAATGAAGCCGATTCCAAATGAAGACGCCTGGAATACATTTAAATCTGGAGTACCTCAAGGCTCAGTTCCAGGTCCTGCTCTTCCCACTGGATCAGGATAGGAAACAGTTCTTCGCTTTTCAGTCTGGGCCTGAACCTCTCAGGTTTACGAACCTTTAACTGAACTTCATGCATGAAGTCACGGAGAATATTTTTGATAATTTTCTTCTGTTAAATCCAAACAAAAGTGCGAACAGCTTCATGTTTCTAAAAGTGACACTCAGAATAAAACAGAGATCAGATTAAAATCCCTCACTTCATAATCGACTCGTTTAAAAACCATATTTTTTATTTTCGACCGTCCTATGGGATTATTTCATCCCAGTTCGTTGCAGAGCAGCGATAGAAGTCTTACTCATGTTTATGACAGGTGTTACATTTATAACAGTGTCATAACAGTCTTATTCACAACCCGTCAAATAAAGTGTTACCAAACTTTCTGCACTTTGAGAGAGAAAATGACAATAATTCATTTTTTTTGTCACAAAAAAGTAACAAAAGAAAATGTTTCTAAATCAAATTGTTTTGATTAAAAAAACTTACAGAACTTTAACAGGAAGTGCAGGTGTGTGTCTGTCTCTGATTCAAATGTATTTGATTTTCATACAGTGGGAAAAAAGTCCAGAAATTTTACTCAAGTGAAAGTAAAAATATTTCATAATAAAATTACTAAAATAAAAGTAAACAGTGCAACGTAGCACAAAATGTTTTTTCAGTAACTTCACTCAAGTAAATGTAATTAGTTACTATTCTACTGCAGA